AATGCAATAAGAATGGTCTTAAAATATACATCTATCTTTTAAGTATACATAGATAGTCTAAATACGAAACCTCGTTGCGAGTATCCCATGGAATAATTGGATTGAAGAGCAGGTGTGACTCAATTCACTTTCTGTTGTGATATTTTCTTATCTACTTACGTTCACTTAATCGCAAAAAACACTCTAAATGAATAACTCTCTCTTTAAATCTATAAATATAAGATAACATACATGAGTAGTTATATCTAATGTCTTCATGCTACTATAAGTATTACTTAAGTACAACCCTAACTGTTAAATGTTTTTGGTTATACTTTGATTGTAACGAAAACACAGCTCGACATTATTTTTGTATTGTAATTTTAAAATCCCTACTCTCAACATCGTAACGCAGATCCCTAAAAATATAGAACACTCGGCGAGTAGGCGGAATCGAGTTCGTATATAAAATGCGAATCATTATAGTATATACAATAAGAATTATTTCATATTTTTAGTGTGCCTACACTGATTTGTCAAATCAATGGCGCATACATAACATATTATAAACCAATTGGCTTACTTACTGTTTTCACACCTCTTTTTCCTCACGATTAATAAGAATAATTTTGTATATGTGATTTATCATAAGTTCAAAAGATTTCTTGCTTTTACTAGAATATTATCATGTTTAATGAACTTTAAATGATATATTTCTTTTACGGATTTTATCGAGTCTTTATTTTTAATTTTTAAGGCCGTCTCGTGACCATGAACGCTGGAAAAATTAGAAACGAAAATAAAAAAAACCTAAATTATAACACGATAAAATGTATATATAATAGTTCAATTTAACAGCTCACAATTCACAAAACTGCGGTAACTATATGTCAAAAACCTTTAAACGAGTAATTATTTTATATATAATCTGAATCGCCGAAACGGCTTCAACGATTTTCATGAAAATTATTATGCAGGCAGTTTCGGGGGCGATAAATCGGTCTGTCTAGGTTTAAGAAAACAATGTTTTACCCGTTATTTCAAGAAACAAAAAATATCATTTGAATACGAAGGTAAATTTCGCCATTTCTACAACTAACAATATCCCGAAACTAGAAGACTCGGTTGGAATCCAGATAGTTTATTTCTTTTTATTTATTTTGTCGAGTCCAGATGGTTATTTTATTATTTTTTCCCTTTTCTTTCAAGTTCCTAAGCTCTGTTATCCAGGTACTTTTTTACTTAACTGTACTTCTTATTCTTTCTCCTGCCCTTATCCCACAATAGGTGGAGTCGGCCCAATTTTACTCAACTATAGTGTCTTTTGAAAACTTTATCGTTTTATCGTCCGAAAAAAGAGATTGGAGTTACTCCTCATCGCGTAAAGAATGTTTACTTCAATAAGGAAGGATTACCTTTAATACCTGTAATAAAAAAATCAGCATTTTTTTTTTAAATCAACTATCGTAGCGCACCTTTTATTATGTTATCGGGATCACCCCGTTTTTCGCTAGAAAATAACATGCATTATGGATGAAGTTAAGCCTAATGCCTACTATAAATCAGGGACGATAAGGTCATTCGAGAGTCTGTAGTCTACGTAAATACTTACTTGATTTAAGCAGACATTACGTACTTTTAGAAGATGAAAAAAGGAGAAATCGGGAAGGGAAATTCGGAAACCATATTTTTAGGAGCCTGAAGATGAAAATGATCCGTACTTCAGAAAAAAGAAAATATTTAATTATATTTAGCAACATAATTTGGAGAAACTCTTTGGTAACAACAACACAAACAAGCTCGTTGAAATAAAGTAATGGTTTTAAAATAAATAATTCCACGCAATCGTTTGCTTTGTATGACCAAGAAAAATTAATGTTCATTGAAAATTTTGATTTGTTAGGCATCCTTGGAATAGATAGAATGTAAATCGGCAATGATCTAAGAACTAGAACAGTACTTGCAAATGCCTTATCGGCCTTTCAGGAAAGACTGTTCCTAAACCCTAGTAACAGGGACAGTAGACCTTTTCTTTTTGTTCTTTTATGTGAAAAGTTGCCAAGTGAGCAGATGGTTCACCTGATGTTAAGTGAATACCGCCGTCCGTGAACATCTACTACACACGAGGGTTCCAGATGCGTTGACAACCTTTTGAAAATTGGGCTCCAGCCACCTCACTCACTATACGAAACTTTTGCTTTATGTGACAAACATCAATAAAATTTAATGTAAAGTTTGGTTCCTTGGAATGACTTGTAAAACGGCAAGGATCGCAATACATACCCTTATTTAGAACAGTATATAACCTAGTCACTGACCATTAATAAATGTATAAAAGTAACTATCGTGTTAGACAAAATTAAGGAGATTTGAAAATGTAATAGTTTTATAATAATCGACCCGTTAACATCAAAGTTAAAATATTTTACTGGTGAGATATATAAATAAAACGATATTTTCTTCTCTTGATATTTTCATATATTCTAGTTATAATATTATATAATTGGATATAATTAATCGTCAGGGATTCTAATCCCCGTGGATTAATTATATGGATTTATGAATATGTCTGGAGAACCCGCAACCTGAGAGAAGATAGACTACTAGAAGAAAGACTGAAATAAATCAAATACTATTTATTTTTTATGGGACGAAAGTACATTCGAAAACTTTACATAAAAATTATTTCTTAAAGAGAATATGGTATATGGAACATATTCGTTTGTGTTCTTGAAAAAAAAAAATGTTGAGCAAGCTTGCATATTTGCCCCTAATCTAATCCCCTTTTAAAATTTAAAGCCACGGATTAAACAAATGGATTATATTTTACACGTTTCCTTTTAATAAAGTTTTTATATGGATTATTTAATTGAACTACGTATGTATTAATAATTTAACAAAGGGTAGCATAAACTTAATGTATAATCTTACGTGCAGAGATTAGCACTGTAAAATTTAAATTTCTAAAAAGCAATGGCGACATCTCTCGTTCGAATTATTGTTGTAAAACGATATGCGAAATTGTTTGTATGCTGGAAAGGATATAACAATGGATGATCCAAGCATTGCTTCAAATGCTTAAAAGCAATGTAGATAAAAGACTTTAAGGTTTTCTTCGGTGTGACAATCAGCCGTTTAGCATAGTGGCTGGAGCGTCCGGGTGCGAATCCTGAAAACGTGGGTTCGATTCCCACAGGGGTGAAAAACTTTTAGTTCCTTTTTACTATTAATTAGAGGATTGGAATCTGTGTATTTAAATCTCCATGAAATTATTTTATACGTTTAAGTTTATTTTAAAAACATAAAGAGTTCATGCATACTAAAATATTTTTTGATATTATGTTATGTTATAAATTGTCTATTTTGTCACGTCTGCAGTAATACAAAAAATCAGGCCTTTAGACGTAAATGAGTAGGCATGAGATTATGCCATACACGATTGAGATACTATTATGGCATTGCTATGTAAGGCCTGCAAATTCAAGTTGCAACATAATGCAATTGTCTTGTATTCGTGTCGCGCGAAGGTTTAGGTTATTTTCAAGGATATAAAGTGAAGGTAACGAGATAAAGACACAATTAATAGCCTCAACAAATGAGTTATTACAGCAGAGCGAGCTTTTCGTTCTTAGTTTTTGAATAATTAATGGTCCAGATAATTAGGTGCATTAGTTGACATTTATACTTGTTATTTACGTAATGACTTTAATTTAAAAGGTCGTTTAATGAAACTGTGATGCTTGTAATTGAAGTGTACGTCAATTAAACACAGCGGTCGGATGCTAACTGATTTATTCTACCTTCAATATTTCAATACACTACACATCTCCTTCCCATAAAATAAAAAAAAAACCCAAAAACTTATTCACTAAAAACCCGAACAATTGTCTTATATATGTCTAATAACAAAATTTAAACCTAAATCTATCACTTTTCCCTCCACCAAGGTAAGTTTAATTGATCATAACATAATTAACTTATACAATAATTAACTTATTACGAGTAGAGCTATTTTTTTTTATTTTTTTTATAATAATAAATATTACGTTTATCTAAATATATTTTTTTTTAAATGTGACTAAATTAAAGTTGTATTTAAATGCTACCTTTTTTATTTATTCCATCCCTTTTTTACGCAATTCTCGTCGGAGTGCTCTATGAGCTCTTTCATTCAACTCTCCGGGTGATTCACGCATACGTGTTGTATAACTTCGTTGACTAGGTTAGTTCTCACAAATCTCCGGTACCTTCGTAGCCTCAGTGACCGTAGGAGACGATGTTCTGTTGTCACTATCAAATGGCTCCGACTGATTAGTGGTGTAGTCTTCATCTTCTGTGTCAGAAATGATAACTTGAGGATCATTATTTATTTTTCGCGGTCTTGTGTTGACGTACTCATCCGTATGCACATTTTGGTCAGTTTCATTTATATCCCATGAGAACCGATTACTGCTGAGTGGTAATATTTGATCCGTATGTCGCCTATACACCGCCCCGTAATTATCTACAATTTTGTAAGAAAGCGGGCCGGTTTGTTTTATAATTTTGCCCTCAACCCACTTAAGGTTATTAGTAGAATAATTTTGCGTTAATACTTTGTCCCCTACATTAAAATTTCTATCGACGCCCCTGGAGTTCTGTACTTGTTTATCTTGGGCTTCTTCCACTATTTTAGAAGTGTTCGGGCGCATCGCATCGAGCCTATTTCTTAAACGATGTCCCAAAAGAGCCACCGAAGGTGCTACCCCCGTTGTTGTATGTTGGCAATTTCTATATTGAAGAAGAAATCGGCATAAGCTGGCGTGTATGTCCTTACCTTCTAATACAGCCTTTTTTATGGTTTTTTTAATAATTTTACTGAATTCTCAGCTGCTCCGTTACCTTGAGGTCTATACGGCGGGGAAGTAACGTGCGTTATCATGTTCTTATCACAAAAATCCCTAAAATCAGCGCTTTGAAATGGCGGTCCATTATCTGTAACCAGCTTTTCAGGAAGGCCGAATTTAGCGAATAAACTTCTAAAAAACTTGATAGTATGACACGCTGATGCTACGTATCTCCTCCGCCTCCAGCCATTTACTGTGAGCATCCACTACTATTATGTTGTATTTTCCGAAGAGTTGGGCGAAATCGGCATGTAGCCGTTTCCAGGGTCCCGCAGGAAACTCCCAGGGGTGTAACGAAGACCGCGGGAGTGCGTCTCGCACGTTGCAACACGCCACACACTTGTTCCCAATCGACTCAATGTCTTTATCGAGAGCTGGCCAATAAACGTAATTCCTAGCAATGGACTTCATTTTTACGATACCTAAATGACCATCGTGAACTTTTTTTTGTAAAGTTTGTGGTATCACCAAACGATATTTGTATAAAATACAGCCGTGATCAATGTTCAAGTCTGAGCGCCTGACATAAAAAGCCTTTTCATCCTCTTTACACTTTCCTGGCCATCCGAACATAATATAACCAAAAATCCTACTTAATAGGTTGTCTTTTCATGTTTCTGCTGCTATCTCCTTAAAGTTAACGGGTAATGTTTCGTCTACATACAGTAAATAATGTTTATCCACTGTAATTGCCGCGCTGTCGTCGCTGCCCTCCAGCGGCAAACGCGACAACGCGTCGGCGTTGCCATTACACTTCGATTTAACAAAGTCAATGTTAGAATCGTAAGCGGCTAATTTGGCGGCCCACCGTTGTAGAAGGGCTTGTGATCAGTTTTCAAGGTAAATTTCCTCCCGTATAGATATTGTTGGTGTTTTTGCACCCGGTACATAATAGCTAGTGCCTCTTTATCTAGCTGGCTATAATTTTTTTCGGCATCCGAGAGCGTCCTGGAGGCGCAACTGATAGGGCGCTCCGAGCCGTCGGGGAAGCTGTGCGCGAGCACCGCGCCCACGCCGTACGCGCTGCTGTCCACCGACAGTACGAGCGGCAACGTCGCCTCGTAGTGACATAACACTTTGTCGCTGGCTAATATATTTTTTATTTTAGCGAATGCATGTTCACAATCCACATTCCAAATCCAAGACTGATCTTTCTTTAAAAGCGTATATAATGGATGAAGTAATAAACTTAAATTGGGAACAAATTTTCCATAATAATTTACTAATCCTAAAAAGCTTTTAATTGAGTCACATTTATCGGTATTGGAGCCTTTACAATGGCTTCAACCTTGGTCCGGTCCGGATGTAAGCCATGCTTATCGATAATAAAACCTAAGTAGGATACACTCTCTTGTAAAAAAATAAGGCTTATCTCCGCTAGAAATCGCACGAATATTGTACATTTCAGCCTCAGGGTCTTCCTCAACAAAATTATGCCGCCTTACAGCCGTTTTACTATTGTACGCCTTGCACATTACTTTTAAATGACCTCTTATATTACATCGGTCACACGTGTATTGCTTAAAACGACACTTATCCGCACGATGTGGTTTGCCACATCTCCAACGTGCAACGCCTCGCCGCCCGCCGGCCCGCCGCTGCCACCGCCGCCACTCGCCCCCGTTGCAGGGGTACCGTCGCCGAAGTCCCCAGAAGATGCACCGCTCAAACTGCTGCGGCCGCTCACTCGTTCCACGTGTTTCTCAGTGGCTTCCAAATTTAGAGCTAGCTCCACCGCCCTTTTATATGTTAATTTCGCATCAAATAGCAATCGAGATGTTATCTCTGTGCTTCGCAACCCAGTCACGAATTGTTCACATAAGTTTTCTTCTAAATTTTGGACAAAATTACATGACGAAGCCAGTTGTTGTTGTAAAAAGTTTTTGTTGTTGTAAAAAATCGCCAATCGATTCTGCCGCTTTTTGTTTTCGCTGCCGGAATATTTCTCGTTCCGCATATATTGAACGTTGGGGTTCCAGATGATTTTTCACTGTTTGCACTAAGTGTTCGAAAGTTTTATCTTCCGGTCTGTCCGGTGCACATAAATCACACATAAGATTATAAGTGCGGTCACCAACTAATGTCACCAACGTGGCGACCTTATGCGTGTCCTTGATTTCGTTTAAAAAAATAAATTGTTCCACTCGGCACACATAGATTGTCCATTGTCCCGAAAACAAATCAAAAGGTTCAATTTTACCGAAAGGCATGTTTGTACTTATTATTGCTTTCCACACGTAACAATAATGAAGTCGATTGAAAATAACCCGCCTCGTCGCCAATGAAGTGTACTTCAATTAAACACAGCGGTCGGATGCTAACTGATTTATTCTACCTTCAATATTTCAATACACTACAGTAATAAATATATTTATTTTAGTCGTACTAGATTAACGATTGTCTTCCAGGTTAACAGTGAAGTGACAAATATCTTAGATGGACTGAGCTGACCGTGAATGCTGCGTTGCATTGGCAAGGAATCGTGAATTAAAATTAAACTTGATTACATGTGTAAAACATGTAGCATTATGTGAAGAACTCCAGAAATAAGGTACTCATGAAAATATGACCATAAACTATAACTTATTATTAGGATTTATTGATGAACTTTATTAAATATTAATTACCCTCTAAATTGATAAAAGATGATCTAAATTGGTAACCGACATAGCTCAGAGGATTAGCAAGCTGAAGTGGCGATGGGCCGGCCATATAGCTCGTAGAACCGATAACCGTTGGGGAAGAAAGGTTCTCGAGTGGCAGCCTCGTACTAGCCATCGCAGTGTAGGACGACCCTCCACTAGATGGAGTGACGACCTGCGCAAATGTGCGGGAAGTCGATAGATGCAGGTGGCTCAGGATCGTACTTTGTGGCAGTCTATGGTGGAGGCCTATGTTCAGCAGTGGACTCAAACAGGCTGAAATGATGACAATGATGATCTAAATCAAGAATACCTTTGATGGTAGTCTGGATAAGGTTAGTTTGATGAAGAATACAATTAATTAGATTATTAAAATAAAAACAATAATCTGTACAGCTTTTTGAAGGTTTTCAGCCGTACTCGGATTGGTTTAATCGTATGGAAAAGTGCATTTATGGAAAGGGAGAATATTTTTAGAAACAATAAATAAATTTTTGACCATTAATAATATTATTTTCATATTAATTCCATTTTAATGTGCCCCACGTATATCTGGAATCAGTTACAAATACAACACGTTTCGTCTAGAATATCTCAGCTGCACTCGACATCGTGTAAGGTAATGCAATGAAAAAGCATGGGCCGTGACAATCAACAGTCTAAAGATTCTAAAGAGATGAAAGTCCACAGTCATTGAAAATATGTCCAATTAATTTTCGTGTGTGTTTATATATATGGTGGATACCGGTGACAATTATGGATACGTTATTACTTACCTTATCATATGATAAGTGTGATGAGATGTGCCTAGCTCTTCTTACTTACCTTATCATATGAGATGTGCCTAGCTCGGCCCTGGTACCATGACTTACAGAAGCTCAATATTAAATATTTATTATAATAGGTTACCAGTCACGCCTTCTACAGCATGAACAAGTCTAAAGACTACTACTATTACAAATGTTCTTATATTTATATTGTCATTGTTTTTCATGTAATTAAAAAAAATCTGCTCGTCACACAAAGCACGCAATTTTAATTAAGTAGAAATATTTACTTTAAAAACACAATTTTCACTCGTAGAGTTTCCCAAAACAACCCATAATAATATTAATAAACTGTTTAAAGAAGAGGATCCGTTTAAAAAGAGCGTTCTTTCTTGCAATATTAAAACTTTCATCACACCAAGTTCGTTGGTTCGTTGGTTCATGTTTACGTAGGCGTTCTCGTAGGCGGGCAACAATTTCTGTAAAACAGTTTCTTAATTTCCCTTCAGGAAGGAGGGAAATTCAGAAACCCTCTTTGAGGAGTATGCAATATCTGCGATAAAAAAAAAAATCGAAAAATAATATTTACGTAGACTTCAGACTACAGAACGACCTTATCGTGTCTGATTTATAGCAGACGTTACGTTTATTCTCATCCATAACGCAGACTTTTTCTAGCAAAAAACGGTTTTGATAAAAGGTGCACTTCAACTTTTGAACTGAAACTGGCTTCAGCTAGAGGAAATCGTAAAAAAAAAACTTATTATGGTCTAAGAAAACTTGGTGTAGTTATTCTAGTTAATCATAACTGTGTAGTATGTGATTAAGATGGCAAAATAATGTTTTAAAAATGAAATGGTAACGGTAAATCAATGTCCCGGTTCTCGCTTTTAATTCTGTGTATTGGAGCAACTTGAGTTTATATCGCGGTGCCCGAGTTAATGAACGTATCGGAAACGTTATCACTTTCATCAAAAGCTGCCACATATTTTCCACGTTGGAAACCCAGTAAAGGAAATTTATCCAAGGAAAAAATAAGCCAAGTAGCCCTATTAACATGTTTTTTAAATTACGCAGGATGCAACACTTTTTGAAGAATGTCAACCGTACTGGATAGAAAACCAGTAGTTCTGGAATTATTATGCAACTGAAACACTTTTCGTCCGGAATATTCTCACAGCACTCAACGTCGCGTAATACGCTGCGATTAACAAGCACGTATCGTGACAAACAACAGGCACTCCCAAACAGTGAACATATATCCAATGCGAGAGCTACTTTTCCGTCCCAAATCCCATCCAAAATTAGCTTTGCCAGACCACATTTGGTCATATTTCCTGTTAGTGAACTATTCCGCACTAAGCTTAAGCCTAAGCTTTTCTTTTTACCAATATTTTGCAGTAAATTTCCAAATACAGACACTTTCTACCATATTCTTACGTCCTCCAATGTGTGTTACACAAAGAATAAGCAACATTTAGAATGCTTAGTTATTGTGTCACTTCGACTGTACTACACATATTATACCACAGCTGAGTAAAAATGAGCCGTGATAACTCAGTGTCCGGGCGCTCGCCTTTAATTCAATACACTCGAGCAACCTGAGTTCGATCCCCGGTGCCGGCACCAATGACGTTTTTAACTTTAAGTGCTGTCTTATCACGTGCTCCACGGTGAAGGAAAACATCGTGAGGAAACCTGCATATTTTCGAATTAATAACAAAAAAAAATATTTCGAAGATATGTGAAGTCCGCCAATCCGCAGTGAGGCCGCATGGTGAACTATGCCCTGATACCCTCTGTATAGAGGTGGGTTTGCCCAGCAGGGGGAGATGTATAGGCTGTTACTTTAGTGAAATCTTATATCTTACCGCCTGGAATATTACGATCTAACCTTTAGAAGTTATAGTAATCGAGATATACAATTCAGTTTCTTAAAAAAAAATATTTGAAAAGAGTAACATTGATATTGATCCACAGATTATAATTTATTGTTTACTGAATACAAAATATTACCCGTTTTTCAAAAACTACATTGAATTTGCTACAAAATTTCAGAACTCAAAAATTAATAATTTTATGGAAAATGAAGAACACAGGGAAATTTCCAAAAATCTTTAATTCCATATCGCAAAATGTTAGTCATATATTAAGTAAAAAATTATTCAAACTAAAACTAAAATAACAGTCATTAGAAACTGATACAATTATTTAGTTACCTATCTCACAATTTTAACTAGTTTAAGTATAATAAAATAAATACATTTTCATACAATAAATACGGTTTGTACTAGTGAGCACCTGTTTTAGGGTTCCGTACCTAAAGGGAAAATCGGTATCCTATCACTTCGACTCCGCTCTCTGTCTGACTGTCTGTCCGCCTGTCACCAGGCTGTATTTTATGAACCGTAACAGTTTGTACTTGAAATTTTCAAAGATTTCTTCAGAGATTTCTGTAGCTGCTATAACGACAAAAACTTAAAGACAAAAATATTTTTTTTGCCGTTTTTATAAATAATGGTACGGAATTCTTCGTGCGCGGGTTCAACTCGCTTTTATGAAATTTTGTAAATTAAAACCTTTACTGGACCACAATTTTCAACCTTAATATTTTTACCTCTGACGATGGACTAACTGGCTGATATGAAGGTAAGTTAGATGTGGTGAGCAACAACAGCTTATACATAACAGTTCCTACTTTACACAATATCTCTATGATAGAGAAGTTAATAATTAGAAAACATTATAATTGTGGTCCAGTAATAGTATTAAATCAATATTAAAAAGTGCATTATTCTTTAAATAAATTTTAATAACATAATACCCAATTTCTATTACACTTAATGATAATAATCTCTGTTAAATATGTGATTATATAAATTGAGCCTATAACTTAATTTATATAATCACATATTGTGATTACTGTATTAGTTAAAACATTATTTCAACTTTAGGGTAAATTTAAATTTCAAATATAAATATATTAGGTATTTCTTACTTCTTGATGTATACCTGAGTACTGCGTCCACTACAATTCAGTCCTTGACACGTTTATTTAAACAGAAGTGATAAATTGCCATAAAATATTGTTATAAACATAAATTACATAATTATAATAACGAAACAACATACAGTTTGTAAAGTGTCTCAATTATGAGGCATTGGAATCACGACCCTAATTTCCATAAGCGAGTACAAACGTTTTGTAAAATATTTAAAAAAGTCTGTACTCAGGCAAAATCTATTTATATAAGAAATAGAATTCTAAATTCAAATAATAAAATAAAAGCCTCATGGAACATCATTACCCGTATATCTGGAAGACCCAAGATATTCAGGGAACCTATAAAACTTATCATAGGTAAAACTCCCATAACATCAGACAGTGTAATTGCAAATAGCTTCGAAAATTATTTTTCAGAAATTGCAGTTAATGTCACATGCACATAAAAATTTTAATTAAGTTTGTAAACTGTCTCAATTACACAACTGACATGGAATATATCAAATACGGCTTAACCCAGCAATGGTACTAGAATACCTACCATAAATAAGGGACCGCCATAAAACATTGAGTAACATTGAACCACAGCATGTCTTGTACATAATCATTAAGGCAGCTTGTAGGTGCATAAAGATGTCAGCTTACTTTATAGACGTTGTCCTTCTTGTAAGAAGCGAAATGAATCTTGCTAAATGAAAATTCCAAAGCGCTGTTCGGCGTAAGATATAATTATATTTACTTATAAGACTAAGTAAAACGTGTAAGTTAATGTGAAAATATTATTATTTAACGTCAATTTGGGTATAATAATCGAAATGGATAAGGGACAAGGAAATTTTATCAAACATAAAAAAAAAGTGTAAACGTTATATTTTGACCCATTACTAAAAACTACCCAAGATCTATATCTGAAATTAGTCATGCAAAAATTAATTGTTAATTTGCCAATAATATATCGATACACCGACATATCACGACACAGGATACCTATAAAATTTAACTTTACATAAAATTATAACTATATTTATAACTATACTTTACATAAACTTATAACTGGGGACCACTAGGGAGAGAAAGGCAAGACCAATTATTAACAGAGGGCCACGGAACCTTGTGTCAGTATGGGGATCACTGTAACGTTATTAAATGACATAGCACATTAAATAGGTAAACACGTGCGGAGGATATTGAATTAAGAACTATTTCGGGTAATACCTTTTCCTACTATAAATAAATAATTTCACAACAGTCCATACAAATCCGTTGATTAAAGCTTTCGGAATCTATCCCGCACCACCTTGGACCGTGCATCCGTGACTACACCATCCGATAAGCGTTATAGACCACCCAGGCGGCAAGCTCACGCATCTTACTTACGCTCACGCACGCCATATATTTAATATTCTGCCACCGCCTGATAATGTAACGCCGCTCTGTCTATACGGCATAGCGCGGTTAGAGATGTCTAATGTTGACGTAATGTCGAACAGGGCGTTGTCGGACCCCTAGCTGGTGGTGATTCGCATGCACTGATTAGTATGGGTGCCAGCGAAGTGAAGGATGCAAAGAGTGGTGTCGTTGCAGCTCTGACCGCACTTTCTGTAGCTTTAACGGTGGTAGGGTCACGCAGCAGCCTTGGCTGTTGCACGAATGAAGTTGTTGCAAGAATTCTTTTAGATATAAAGTGGCACAGCATATGTTTTATAAAGATATAGGAGTCAACCCCCAATGATTCTTATAGATCAATGGTTGAATTTCTCTTATCTTCTTATAATGATACTTTTAAATCACGCATAGTTGCTAAAAATTCAAAATTAAAATTTAGTGACAGGGCAACAGTAGGTATATATAAAATAAAAGCCACATGGAACATCACCGTATATTTGTAAGACCCAAGATATTCAGGGAACCTATAAAACTTATCATAGGTAATAATACTCCCATAACATCAGACAATGAAATTGCAAATAGCTTCGAAAATTATTTTTCAGAAATTGCAGTTAATGTCACATTGCACATTAAAATCCTCTCCCATAACTGCAATCCATGTATTGAAAAATAA